TATTGACAGAGACTCGGGTTGCAAAGGGGTGGAAAATTTCTGGTAAATTTCCGGAAACTTTCCAAATATCCCTGGAATATTCCAAAAAATCCTGGAACTTTTCCAAAATTTCTGGAATATTTCAGAAATTTAGTGGACATTTTCCACCTTTTTGCAACCCTAACAGAGACCAATGGAGTTTTGTTCATTCAGTTCACAAAACCAGCCAGTAATGTCAAAATTAGGCATTAGATCAGCTCAGCATGAACAACTCAGCTTTCACATTTAAACAATCATCCAAAAGCTAAATATCTCAGCATTTGCACAAAGGAAAGGAGCAGTATAGAATGTGTGATGGTTGTTTTTAGAAAGGGGAATAACTGAATAAAATATCACTTCTTGCACATTATGACATTGACCTTTGTTAATTTTACACTTCTGCGATTTGTTTCCTCCATTAAATACAGAGAATACATACATGTGGACAAAGTTAACTGTATTTTAATAAAAATACACACTAGGGATATGCCGGTATCAAAGTTTCATGTTGCGATTAATTGCTAATGCTTTTATCACGGTATGCGTATTATCACGATATTGAAATTTAGTTTTAAAAAAGTGCTGTCATAATACAGTATAACAGGTTTAATAACTTTTTTCTTATAAAAATAACTGAACATTTAAATGCAATAAAGCAATACAGAAAAATTTATAAAGTTAAAAGTTTTACACACTAGATTTTCTCGTCTTCTATCAATAACCTGATACGAACCCAGTGCTTCGTTCTTTGTGTTGATAATCAAATGCATTTGAAGTAGGGATGTTCATTTTACCCGTTTAGCCGGTTAACCGACCGTAAGAATTTTGACCGCTTAATACAATCAGTTAAACGGTTTAAAAAGTCATTTAATTATTTATTTTTTCAGTAATTTATCAAAATATTTAAAAAGGTTTGCTGCATGGTTAAAATACGCTACGCAAAACATAAGTCGGGTATAAGTCGCATTTTATTGTTTCATTCAGAAATAGGCCTAATGCCGACGCGAAATGTTTACAAACATTATAATAAACACTGTAAACATAGCTAGGCTATTTTAGTTCCCCTCACTCCACAACAAAGCCTTTCAATTAACAGTATTCAGAAAAGAACAAGAATTAAAAATATAAAAAGCTATAGCAATAGCTATAGCAATATAAACGACAAGCCAAAACGAATTAATTTAGGCTAAAACGAAACTGAAACCAACGTTGGGTCTCTCATTCCACACAAAATCAAATGTTTCTGTATTCGCAATGTATTTAAATGACAAATTATTATTTATTATGTAGGCCTACTTCACTCGCGTTCCAATATCCACGTAAAACAAAATGTTTTGCATAACATCACGGCGGTGCGGTGATAACACTTAACGGCACAGATTTTACTACATATTTTTTCCCCACATGTTTGACTGACTGTATTTTATTATGATAATGAACAGGCTGCATTGTAAAGGTAACAATGCTTAACTGTGTGCACGCATGCGGCGCAATCACTTGAGTTTTTTCCTTCTAACAGAGGAAGCAACTATTTCTTTTAGTCCTAAAGATAATCGGAATTGTAAAAGGTTTGCCTTTATTTGTTTACATTCACAATAAAAACAAATCTTTGTGCTTTTGTAAAATAAGCCTAAAGAAAAATAGGATGCCGCTTTCTGTCGTCGGTTTCCTTTCGCGGCACAAAAATGAACCGAAACTCTGCACACTAGGCTACTTGTTGCACAGTTTTCCTTTCATTTTCTTAATTTATTATTGAAGTACAAA